AAGAATGACTATGGTCAGGAAATCAAATAATAAATGCTACAGGACTGCGGTTGGGGGAGGCTTCCATTTTGTTACTAGCACAACCACTGTGGAAATTAGTATGGAAATCCCTCAAAAAATTAAAACTAGAAACTCCATTTGACCCAGCTATGCCCCTTCAAGACGTCATATTACAGTGATGCATGCACACCCGCATTGATGGCAGCACAACGCCAACATTAAATCCCCGGAGCAGCCTGCACGTCCATCAGCAGAGGAATGGATAAAGAAAATGTGGTATATACACAGTGGAGTACTACTACGCCAGAAAGACAAACTTGAGTCTCTACGTGGAAAACGGATGCACCTAAAGATCATAATGTTCAAGGAAAAAAATCAGGCACACAAGCTTATGTACCACATGGTTTCTCTCATACGAGAAACCCATAATACAAGCAATGCGCAAAGTAGAAGACAGATTGTAGGAGGTTGGGAGAGAGAACCCTGTCAAATGAGAAGGGACTCGTTATGCACACGCGCCGATTCCACACAAGGAACGTAAACAGGATGTAATGCAAACATGCCCTAGTAAAACTTTTCTAAATATAAAATAAAATATTTGCCATCCAACCCTTCAAGAAACATAAATAACAAAAGACTCGGGAGGGGACTCGAACCGGCCGCTCTAAAAGCTGCCCAGGGCCTCCAGGCGTTTCTCCTTTCTCTGGTTCCTACCCTGACCCCGCCCCTAGACTCGCTCCGCTTCCTAACCTTGCTCTCCCATCCCCCTCACGTGGGCGGCCTAGCGAGCATGCGCCTTAGGCGCAAGGCATGCCGGGCCTCGTAGTTTCGCCATCGGACGGAAGCCGGGAAGGCGGGCGCAGGCATGTGGCCCCGAATGTTAGTGCGGGAGCTCCGGGTGGCGGCAGTCAAGTTCTCCGTGCTGGGGACTCGCCTCGCCGTTCGCGTGCCGCCTCGGCGGATACTCGGGAGCGACCTGGCCCTGCGGCGGAGCCTGCACGCAACGGCGGCCCGGGCCCTCCCGCTCATTCCCATCGTGGTGGAACAGACGGTACAGCGGCCCGGTGGGGACACGGCCAGGGCTGGGGGGACTGCGGGTCCCCCGACGTCTCACCTCCGTCTCTGCACTCCAGGGTCGCGGTGAACGCGCCTATGACATCTATTCGCGGCTGCTGCGGGAGCGCATCGTATGCGTCATGGGCCCGGTGAGCGCCGGCGGGACCCCCCATCCCTGACGACCTCCCCGACCCCTAGGACCGCTCTTCCATTCCTATGCTTCAGTCCCTGTCCCCACCCACTCTGACCTGAGACTGCCTTGTGCTTCAAACTCCTTGGGTCCCGACTACACCCCTAGTGCCCCCCGCCCTATGTCCTGAATTGTTCCTGACCCCCTTACCCCACCGCTTTTTTTTGTCTTTTTGAGGCAGAGTCTCGCTATGCAGTTCAGGCTGGCCTTGAGCTCACTTTGTAGCCCAGGCTGGTCTCTAACTCACAACTATCCTCCTGCCTCAGCCTCCTCAGTGCTGGGATTAGAGGCGTGCACCACCACGCCGCGGTCCTGATCCCTTCTTTTTTGATCCCCTCTTTTTTTTTTTTTTTTTTTTTGAGGGGGGGGTCTTTGCTGGAGATTGAACCCAGGACCTTCGAACTGAGCTAAATCCCGAGCCGTTTTTACTTTTTGTTTTCAGACACGGTCTTGCTAAATCACTAAGTTGCCCAGTCTGGGCACAAACTTTCCATCTTCCTGCCTTAGCCTCCCAGAGTGCTGGTGTGCGTGACTTGACTCTGACTTTCCCCTCGCTTCTTATTTGGCATCTGATTTCCCTTCCTGGTGTCCTGACCCATCCCCAGCAACCCCCGAAAAACCCTCCCTTAAATCTCTCTCCCACCCCCAATCTGGGGATGCCTCCATGTCCCCACCTGCAGATCGATGACAGCGTTGCCAGCCTGGTCATTGCGCAGCTCCTGTTTCTGCAGTCCGAGAGCAACAAGAAACCCATCCACATGTACATCAACAGCCCTGGTGAGTGGGGCTTTCCCTGGGTGCTGGGTGCTCTCCAAGGGGCACTGAGGAACTCAGGACTGACATCCCTAGCTCAGGGTGTCCTCCCCTGGGGACCCCTGAGTGTCTTGAAACCACCAAGAGGAGCCTTCCTTTTGTTTTTGCTTTTTGGTTGTTTTGTTTTGTTTTATTTTATTTTTTGAGACAGGGTCTCACTGTATAGCCCAAGCTGGCCTCGAACTCATGGTGATCTTCCTGCCTCAGCCTCCCGAGGGATAAGATTACAGGTGTGTGCCACCATGCCAGGCTGCTTTTAGTTTTTGAGATAGGTTCTTACTGTGTGGCTCAGGCCGGCCTCGAAATCATGATGGCCCTCCTGCCTCAGCCTCCTGAGTGCCGGAGTGACAGTCTTGTACAATCACACCTGTCCTATAGCTTGCTTTGAAATGTAGGTTCACACAAAGTATAGGTTCACAAACCAACAGCTAAATTCATGCCATGCGATGTAGCCTCTTTGATCCCACATAAAGTGTTTTGCCAATTTGACCTGGTCATCCCTTTAAAATTAGTAGATAGCTGGGCATGGTGGCACATGCCCGTAATCCTAGCCCTCAGGAGGCGGAGGCGGAGAGATCATGACTTCGAGGCCAGCCTGGACTACATAGGGAGTGCAAGGCCCGCATGGGCTGTGTAGTGCAACCCTGTCTCAAAAAACTAAGCCGGGCAAGAAGGCCAAGGCCTGCAATCCTAGTGGCTGCGGCAAGAGGATCGGCAGCATGAGCTCAGCCTGGCCAGTTTAGTGACTTAGCAAGATGCTGTCTCAAAATAAAAAATATGAAAAGGGCTGGAAGTGCAATGCAGGGCGAGAGACCTGGATTCAGTACCTTGTCCTGCAAAAATAAGTAAGCGGGTAGATTGTGCCCACCTCCAAAAAAGACTAGATCATTTTTTTTCTTTTTTTCTGGTACCCGGAATCAAACTCACAACCTCGCGCTTGCCAGGCAGGCGCTGTGCCGCTGAGCTAAATCCCCAGCCCCCAAGACTAGGTCATTTTGATCACTTCCTGTGCTGAGTTGTTTGTGAGTGTTCTTGTCCTTGCGGGTACCTCCGATCCACGTGGCTCAGAGAGGCTGAGTAAGTTGCCCAAGGCCATGCTGATGACGGGCGGCGAGCAGGCTGCCTGCGGCGCCTTCCCTCTCACCCCTGCTCTCGTCTGGTTTCCGGCTTTTTTAGGAAATGTGGTAGATCTGTCCCCAGGCCGCATATGCGTGTGTGACAGTAGTCACCTGGCTCTGGTGCAGGGACGACCTTGTCCTGTCCTGTGTCCCCTGTCACCTGTCCCCGTGCAGAGGAGGTTCTGTCTGTGCCCCGCTGTAAAGGACAGCCCCTCCCCACTGCCAGGGACAGGATGGAAGGGGGCGCTGGCACAGCCCTCACTCGCCCTCCTGCCCGCAGGTGGTGTGGTGACTGCGGGGCTGGCCATCTACGACACGATGCAGTACATCCTGAACCCCATCTGCACGTGGTGCGTGGGCCAGGCCGCCAGCATGGGCTCCCTGCTTCTGGCCGCCGGCAGCCCTGGCATGCGCCACTCGCTTCCCAACTCCCGAATCATGATCCACCAGCCCTCCGGGGGCGCCCGGGTGAGTGCCAGCCCCCGCTCCCCCGGCTGCAGGACAGGGTCTAGACAGTGAGACGATGGCCATGGAAGGTCGTGATGGGTGCAAACCAGGTGTGGGCATCGGCGTCTTCAAACGTGGGCTGTAGCCGGGTGTGCTGAGCATATTCAGCACTAAGAGCGGAGACTGTGTCCTGAAACAAACCCAGGAAGATGATCAGAAAAAGGAGGAGGCCGGAGAAAAAGGGACCTAGGCTCAGCCGAAGCTCCAGCTGGCCCCACCCAGAGGAGCGCACTTGGTGAGAACCAGTGGGAGGAACCTGAGCGGCTAGACCTGACTCCCTAGGAATTCTTGTCCCTGTGGCACAGGTGGGGATGTAGCAGTCAAGTTGTTCCGGGCCTTGGGTTCGATCCCCAGTACTGCTTAAAAATGCAGAACGGAAGGCGCTCCGAATTGTGAGAATGGTTTTCTTAATTGAACAGATGGGGTGGTGCCCTCATCCCAGAGAAAGAAATACTTACAGCAGATTTTCATTGTACTCTCTGCACCCAAAAACAGGTTTTAGAGCCAGGCATGGTGGTCTATGCCTGTAACCCCAGCACTCTGGGAGGCTGAAGCAGGAGAATCACCTCGAGTTCGAGGCCAGCCGGGGCTACATAGTGAGTTCAAGGACAGCCTGAACTGCCTAGCAAGACCCTGTCTTGGGAAAAAAGACGAAAAGGGCTGGGGTTATAGCTCAAGAATGAAGGCCCTGGGTGCAATCCCTAGTACTGCAGAAAATATAAAATAAAAACTTCGGTTTCAGAGGCAAGGCTCAGTGGTAAAGTGCTTGGCCAGAATGCATGAGGTCCTGGGTTCCATCACTGGCGCTGCAAAAGGAAAAGAAA